ATCCTGCTATGTACGGTTCCATCGCTTTGAGGTTATTATAATACCAATTTAAATTCGAATTCTTTAAATCCTTTTCTATGAAGTCATTTGCTTAATTTGATTGCAATTATTTGCTTAATTCGATTTTTGTTCTTAGGATAGAATTGATTAAATTCGATTGTATGCATGTTCCTAAATTTAGTTGCGTGTTATCGTTTGCTTAATTCATTAACTCGTCATATTCATAACCGTTGCTTAATTCGGTTACAAAAACATAATTCATTTGATTTTGATAAGCGCTTGTCTAATTGATATCATAATCGAATATGATCGAATCTGCTTAGAGATTGGTGTTATAATAGCCGATGATAAGTCGGAATCCGAATCAGTAGGATTATCCGTTTTAGCTTATTTTTATAATCACTTATTTTAATCACTTATATGCATAATTTTTCTTTTAATCGAAACTCAAACCTCCCATAAACATTTTCTATGTTGGTTAATAATATTACAAGAATCCTTCTGAGAACGATACTCGAGTTGTCGTTACCGCTAACTATTTTCTTAAAATCACTCATCTTTGACCCGTGCGCGACAACGAATCACTCGTTCTTAACCAAAAGAAATGTATTGTATGACCCTCCTGGAAAGCCAACCGGTTATGATGCAGATGCAGATGCACCAATATGCTTTTCCTCACCAATCAATCTTGATGAAATGTCCTATTCTAAAGCACAATCTGGAATCTTATCGTCTCGTGTTCCTGCAAATGAAAAAAAATCAAAATGACAAAAAAAATAAAACCGAAACACATTGGAAATGAGTTTTAGAATGCAAAAATCACAAAATCAGAACACATTTAAAGAGACTTCCGATATGCAAAAACGGAAGAACCAGAACACTTGCTAGTACACTTCTGGTCAACATATTAATAAATCGGAATACTACTAAAATAAATTCTGGTACACATATTGAAAACTGGAAGACATAATAATTGAGTTTCGATAAACTTATAAAACTGGAACAGTTACTTAATCTATTCCAGTGTGCAATTTGTGAATCGAAAGAATTTTGTGAAGTGTTCCGTTTTGCAGCGAGAAATTTGTATATTTTGGAAGACTTTTGGAAGAGTGAAGCAAAATGAAAAAGTTCTAAAAAAATATAACTATTTATATGAGAGTATTTTAGTCCAAATTTTTTTAGTGTAAAAATATGGAAATAATTGTTGGAGTATGAGATAAAATTTTCATTAAGAGATACTCATTTATTCATTTCTAAGAATTCACTTATTCATCTCCAAATATGAAATTCTAACCTTAGATTATTATAATAAAAAATAATGATATCAATTCAATTCAATATCTTATATTTTGCAAAATATAAAATTAAATATATTGTATATGTCAATGATATATCATTTAAGAAAATGTTAACATGTGCATTTATGACACTTATTAGTATATTAAAATAAAAAAATTTATTATTTTTTTTAGAAATGTCCAATAAAAACTTTTTTTTATGTATTTTTATCTAATATATAAAAAGTTCGATAGAAATGCAAATTTTGTACTAAATATTTGAAAAATATGGTAAAAATGCACAATCTTTTTACCGTTTTTTTTTAATTTCGATTAAAATGCATGTTTTTTATCTAATTTTTTTGAAAAAATTAATAACAATGCAAGCAGTTATATCGATGATTTTGAAAAAAATTGGTAGTGTAAAATGTTTCTTAAGTTAAACGAAAATTTAAAAAAAAACGAGAAAATGCATGAAGTTTTTCAGTTTTTTTTTTAAAACAAATTTTTTTATAAGCAATTTGCACCTAGCGGGATTTTTTAAATAAAAATGATTGTTTAAATTGCATCATTTTTTTTGTATTTGTTGTGAGAATTAAAGGACCAAAATGTCACAATTGCTTACAGGCAGCGTGACAAAGTTGCAGCTACTACAATGATGGCTCGTGCGAAGGGAGATGACGTTGATGACTCGCATATTCGAATGAGAAAAGTAGCCCCGACTGGTTCTCACAGAAGGCAGATGGCGATTGAGAACTTTTATGCACCCCACAATATTCAATGTAAAGGATCCAAAGTAGGTGATGGATGGACTAGAGATCCTGATGATGAGGTAGTCATTGTGGGTACTGAGGATGTAGAGGGTCAAATTGATAGATAGAAGATGGGGGTTAAGAAAGTGGTGCCCCATCATTCTGAGAGTTGCATCGATTGATAGAGAGGTTACTCCTCATCCCGATGCGAAGGCGTCAGCTACGATATGTATGGAGATTACTCCGCCTATTAAGGGTGATATGAAGGTTACTCTGCCTGCTACAGGTGATATGGAGGTTACTTTGCCTGCTACAGGTGATATGGGGGTTACTCATTATGCTATGGGCTGTGTAAGTTACTTATCTGGTTGATACAGAGGTTACTACTCCAGCTTCAACAGAGTCGTCTCTACACGCAGACGAATGGTTTCTTTGAGGGCCTAGTAACTATTCATTCTCTAGATATGTTGATTACGTAACATTCAGATTATGGCAAGGAGAGGTATGTATACGTTATGTTGAACTTGACTTTATTTATTATTGATACATTGACAATAATTAATGCTTTTTAATTTGTTTATTAGAGGACCAACTTCCACTGAAGGTGCCCACCTACAAGGTGAAGTTGAAGAAGTTCTTAAATTCTTCGATACCACAAGAGGCCAGGGCGATTATAGAAGTTTGTTGTCTCCTTTCATTGGTGGACTGTTTGTTGACCATGCTTGACATTTCACTATTAATAACCTTTGTTGAGTCATGGCATAAGGAGATATATTCCTTTCATCTTCTGTTTGGTGAGATGACGATTATCTTGGACGATGTCTCCTATCTATTCCATCTTCCTTTATCATGTAGTTTCTTCACCGCATCTCTCATTAGCCAGCAACTAGCATATGTTACTATTATACGGGACTTGGAGTTACCGATAAGGAGGTGTTAGAGGAGTTTAGGTTTAACAAAGGTGCTCACTTTCGCCTATCTTGGCTCCGAGATAGGGGTGTGGAGCTGGTGCAACAGTCTATGAATGAGGCAATCAATAGGGTATACATGCTACATCTTTTAGGATGTACTATCTTAGCGGATAAGTCTCATGTATATATTAATGCGAAATACACATGGCTATTTAGTAACCTTGACCATCTCAGTTGGGCATGGGGGTGTGTTGCAATGATTGTTCAGTATGCAGCACTTGGATATGAGTCTGTCTTTGAGACTAGGCAGCTTTTCAATCATATGGGTTTATTTCAAGTATAAAAATTTATTGTTTCGTATTAATTTAGTTATTATTTATAAGATTTCTTGATTTGGCTATGTTCTTATGCAAAGTTGGATATACAAGCATTTCCCCTTCATTTTTTAGAGGCAGGTTATTCCTACCACTACAGAAAGAGGATTGATGCATTGATTATAGATGATGTCATATGGACACTCTACGCAGACCTTAGTGACTAGACACTTACCTGAGAGGTGTCTGCGCTAGTTTGGATATGTTCAAGACATCTCACAACCAGTCCCTCGCAAACCTTAGGGAGATGATGTTGAATACTTTGATGCTAGGGAACCTTCTGATGATGTGTCATCGCCTCCACCGCCACCACATAGTGTGGATGACCAATTGTATCTATAGATGATAACGATCATTATGGATAACCTCATGGTTATGGTAAACCCATATGACGAGGTTTATACTTTGGCATCACAGGAAACACACATAGCCTGTGGGTGACCTATGTAAACATTATTATTATTTTTGTATTATTTGCATATTATGTGTATTGTTACTCATACATTTTGACCGTTCAATTTATTAGATAACGTTTTGTCACTTTCATTATTGCAAGATGGACATAACTTAACACATTATAATTAACTTAACAACAATAAATGGATGCAAAACTTAGACACTACCAAATGATTCTGGATGTTTCAACGTCTTGATTATGTTGTCGACATATCTAAAATTGTCGTATCAAACTTGATTCCTTTTGTTAGCCTAAGGTGATATGTTTTGCACATAACCTTCAAATCTTCATCGGTCTTCAACTAAATATGGTTGTATTTCACCCTTCAATCAATATCAATCTATAGTGAAGGAAACTTGATCTTACTCACCTTTCTGTTTTCGATGTCTAACAACATATTATTCAATTTGGATCTCATAAGAGTGAGATATGTGGTGTCTTCCAAGAGCCCAAAATCAACTAGAGGTTTCACTATTTAAAGCACACACATGCCATAAACTAATAGTGAGGCATTCTAAGATGTTCTTTTTAACAACACATAATCCCTATTTACACAACTTTGAATTCACTTTAGATCATACACAATCGTACAAAACTGTCAGCAAAATCTCAATCGTTGAAATTACAATACTGAATATTTGCAGTTCCTCTAAAAGTCTGATAAATGCATAAGGTTTTTTTAAAAAACCAATAATTTTACACTACTAAACTTTTCAAGGTTTTGCAAAAATACCGATAAAACATGATGTTTTTAAAAAAATCAGTAAATTTTTCCACACATTAGTTTTTTTTATAAAAAAAAAAGTTGGTATAATTGCATATCAAACTTTTGACTACATATTGAAATTTTCAATTTGTACCGAAAATTTCATTTGTTTTACCAGATTATTCATTCAAACTATTTGGCTAAAACTTGTCAAAAATAATATTAGTATTAATAAAAATTGGGGGTGCCAGGTTAAATTTAAGGGTTGGCAAGATAAATTCTGTAAGTCCAGTCTAGAAATATTGGGCCAGGCCCATCATACTCTCCCTGTACCTCCTCTTCTTCATTCTCCTCATCTACGCCATTTCTACACTCATTGATTCTCATCGAGCTTCTGGTCAATACTACTTCGTTCTCCACTGTAGAACACCGGAGAGAAGGTGAGAATACATTGTCGCTAGAAAGGTGGTTAAGCTGGAAGCAGCACCGGAATCGAAAGCCCTAAGTTTGAATCAACAACAAGATGCAGCAGGTAATATGAAACCCTAAATTGAACCATTTTTATTTGCATTGTTTAATTTGAAGTTTAATTTGTTTTCCATCTCTAAAGGGAGGAGGATCTGAAACGGAAGTTACATGGGAGGACCAGCAGAATATCAACAAATTCGGAAGGTTGAATAATCGCTTACACGAGCTTAACGATGAGATCAAATTCGCTAAGGTAATCAATCTAATATTCAAATTCTAGGTTTTTGGGTTAAGGGAATTAGGGGAATTGTTTGAGTTTCTGCGTCATTGTTCCTTGATTTTGTACATGAGTAGAATAAGCACCTTGAAAGCTGGTAGAGTAGAAATGGGTTCAAAGAGATAAACTTTAGTTACTGAGCATCCTTCTTAATTTGTGTTTCATTTGGTCGGTACAGTTTTTTATTTTATTTTGGAAACCAATACTTTTGATTACGATTAATTTATTTATTTTTCAAATTATTACCGGTATTGAGGTGTCAGTGTCGGTGTGGTGTTTCCGTGTCCAGTATGCCAGGAATAGATTACAATGAGCTAATATTTAGGCCTAAAATGTATAGAACATTCAATGAAGCTATACACCCTGAATACCAAAAACTAGGACCTCACCAGCTCAAAGCACTAGCCTCCTAGCCATTGGAAGTACTAAAAAACCGCTGAACAAACCACCGCACCAGTCAAAATCATGCCAAATAAGAGGTCAAGATGAATATATACCAGAAAATTTGAACTCTCATGGCCAAAAAAGCAGGTTCGAATTGTTAGCATACAGAGAGAGCAGACAACATTAATTTGAGACAGAAAATAGAAATATACAATCCAATCAGGGACACAGCCAAGCAAAACAGAATAGTGAGTACGGTCTCAGACAGTTTAATGGTTTAGTGTTCAACTCCTAAATGCCGTCCATGATTGAATACTTTTACCTAAGCCTTTAACCAGCTCTATACTAAAAGCTTAATTTCCTCCGCCACTTTGAAGTTAACAATAGATTTGTCCTTGAAAGTAGTCTTGTTCCTTGCTTTCCAAAGAGATCACACACACTCAAACCAAGTTGATATGAATTGAATTTTCAATGTCTTCCTTCAAATTATTCTAAATGCGCCTGTCGTTCAAATGCACCAAGCCACATCAAAATTGAGCTCCACGCACTCAAGCAAACGAGCATGCAAAGAATAGGTGATGCTACTTTACAGCAGCAACACCTCTGAACAAAAGTGTGTTTGACACGTGTTAGTGTCTGACACAACGCCGACACATATGATTACATTTAATTTACTTATTTTTTAAATTTTTACTAGTGTCAGTGCTTTCCACTTCCCTACAACCATATGTGCACTTAATTTGATCACTTAACACATTCCGTTGGATAAGATTGAATATGGTTGGGAGCCTATTTTGTAATAGTCTCAAACCAATGCTGAAATTTTCTTAGGCATCATATAAATTCAAATATTTTAAAAGAAATGTTAATGCTTAATCAAGAATTCCTAGTCAATTTTTTGTAGGCATTTTTCACTGAATACTCCCCCCTCCTATTAACCTAAATCTAATCCAAATCTACCTATCTGATCCTTAGCCACATGTTTTTTTTTTGTAGACAGTACTATAGGGGCTTATCTCTGTCAATTTCAGAACTATCACCAGATCTACTTGACTCTAGCAGAAAACAAATTAGGTATGAATTGTGTTGTCTCGCCTGGAATAAGATGAACCTGTTTCCTACCTTGAGCTCTTTGTTAGGTTAGAGGAAAAGGATGAGATTCAGTGAGGACTAAAAAATTGAAGACTATTGAATGGATTATATCCTCCAAAATCAATTGCATGGGCAACTACTTAGCCTTTTCTCATGTGTGTTGGGGGTGTGTATGTGTGTTTACATGTACATACAAGTTTAAGAGTTTATTAATTTATGTACATTTTTGTCTTTCAAATAATCTGTTTTTGCTTTCTAATATTTAGTTGTTGATGTAGCACTTGTTCTTTCAAATCCTGTCATGGTTTTAATTTCCCTTCCTTCTAAAAGCATTTTGCAATGGCAAATCATTTTTTTATATTATGATGTGAATGCAGCGAGATTCTGTTTGTCACAGGAAGCTAATGATAATTTGGAGGATGCGAGCAATGAGTTGATTCTCACTGATGAAGAGGTTGTTCGGTTTCAAATAGGAGAGGTTTTTGCTCATGTGCCGAAGGATGAAGTTGAGAGCAGGATAGAACAGATGCAAGAGACAACAAGCCAGAAATTGGAAAAACTTGAGGAGGAGAAACAATCTGTGGTTGCTCAGATGTCCGAACTGAAGAAAATTTTGTATGGGAAGTTCAAAGACTCTATCAATCTTGAGGAGGATTAGCAGCTTGTTTATAGATTTCTAGGATTTTGTGTGGTTTTTATGAACTCATAAAACCTTTTGGCTTTTCTGAGTCAGATTGTCTGTTTTTGAATTGTAGAATGTGTCTTGCTTGAACCTCTTTACATCTTTGCCAATGCTTCTTCCTTTTGCCATGTCCATTATATGTGAAATTATTACCATTCGAGCATGTTTAACTTATCTTAAAGTGCACAGTGGAGTAACAAAAAAATGGACAACCTTGTAAGCAGATTAACAAATTTGAGCATGTTGGATTATGTTTTTTCTGATAAAAAGTCTATATTTTGAACCTCTAGCTTTACATTTAGAGTTGTTTCTTTACATAGCAATTTTCGTCCATATTAGAAAAACATTTTGACAATATTGTGTGTAAAATTGTACTTTTTAGTTGCCCCCCTTTTTTTTTAGTTGAAATAAAATATAGGCTTAAATATACTTTTGGTCATCTTAGGTTAGGCAATTTAAACAATTGGTTCTTCTATTACAAAATCTACGAATATAATCTCTTAGGTTAGAGTCACTTTGGATTTACTTGATTTTCCATTTAATTTTGATGATGTGGCAATCTTTCATGTATTCCATGTCATTAAATTCTAATATTTTAATATAAAATTGAATAATTACAAAAAAAACTTAAATTATATTTTAATTAAATATAACATTATTATAATTGTTTAAAAATTATGGATATCAGTTATAAAAATAATTAGAACTAAAAGTTTGTCTTCCTTTTCTCCTTTCCCATTGTTTTTCGTCTTCGTCACTTCGTTTCATCAAATACATCTATTAAAATGTTACAACAGTCTAGTTGTAGACATAAAAGCAGGTTCTTAAGCCAGTCGAAGTATGTATGTAAGTGTGGTCTTGACGCTCCGTTGATGACGCCATAGACAAATGCGAATCTAGATCACCGTTTCTATGGTTGTGGGGTGTATAAGGTAAGCATAAATTTTCAATTGGTTTACAAATTCGATTTAATTTCTGCACTCAATTAACTCTCCGTTAGTGTTAACAAATTGAAAGGATACACAAAATGCACTCACTTTGCTTGGTTGAGTGAGGAAATGAATCCTAGGACAAAAAAAGATAATTTCTTCACTGTTAAAGAACTTGAATGAGGAGAAAGAGATGGTTAACACCCACAAAGCAAAGGAGGACGAAATGAAGATGAAGGTGAAGATCTTAAAGAAATAGTTGAAGATTACCTGGATTTTGTTATTTGTAATGTTCTTTGCATTTGTTGGAACAACAATGATGAAATATGATATAGTTGATTAGGTTTGTATGTTGACTGATGTTGTAATGCTGTATTGGTTGAAAGTTAATGTTATGGTATTCATGTTATTATATTAATGTTATGGACCCGTAATTTTGATATAACAATGACCTATAACAATGACTTATAATTTGACATACTTAGATCTTTTAATTTGACAGTGGACTTATAATAATGGCTTATAATTTGACCTATAATAATGACCTATAATGTCTTATACAAAACAATATTACAATGGCTCTATAATGGCCTATAATGCCTTAATTTGATAGCGGGTCTTTTAATTGCACAATGGACATACTTAGTCTGCAACAATATTACAGAACAATGCCTTATACACAGTGGACCTAGAATGCCTTATACAGAACAATATTACAATGGATCTATAATGACCTATAATGCCTTAATTTAACGATGGAACTTTTAATTTGACAGTGGATATACTTAGTCTTGAACAATATTACAGAGCAATGTCTTGTACACAGTGACATAACATGACTCATAATTTGACATAACAATGCCCTGTAATTTGACATATCAATACCTTATAATTTGACATTACACTAATATGAGAAAAGAATAAGCAAATGGCATTCCATTAACATACTTAGATAATTGTATGCATTACACTAGTATAACATTGTTTGACAGTAACAATGTTTAACCAAAATAACACTCAAAACACAACTTGAGTCAAAATGAAACCTAGAGTACATTACTACCCAAAAGATAATCATATACACTATTCAAACCTAGAATATACTACTCTTGTGTTGGTTGTGGAACTTGTGAACTTTGACCAATTTCTGTTTGTTTGTCTTTAGACTTAACCTTCACTTTCTTAGCATTCACTTTCTTAGCCTTCTTTGGTTTATTCCCACCCTTTGAAATAACCCTATCTGCAGCCCTTTTTCCCTTACAACTCCTCTTGTTATGCCCCATAGCACCACATTTTGCACATGTCACAGTAGAAAACCTCCTTGGAAGTATGTGAGAATTTCTAGGTTCATCATTTGTTTTGTTCCTCTATTTTATTAGTCTTCCAATGGTTCTTCTCGTCACAGGTGGTGCTATTGTACCATGATCAGATACAGGTCACAATTATGGTCCACTGGTTGAAAACACAACGTGGGAGTAAGTTCCCAAAAATTTTGATTACATGTTTAAAACATAATTCAACCATAACAGTCAACAATTCATACAAAAATATTCAACATAAGTAGTAAATAAGTATAGTACAAAGACAAACCTATAACATGCAACAATATAATCCTCTAGCTGCCACTTTGTCTTTGAACTTCTATTGGCAGCAGTCTTGTGACATGTATGTTCTTCAATCAAACTCACAACTTGCCAAAATTGGTTACCAATTCTTTTACTAAATCTTATATAGAACTTACATCCATCAGTGCATTTCACCATAGCTCTTTTGGAACATTTTTCTTAATGAATACATTCTTATGATTTTCCATCTCATAGTCCTTGATTTCATCCCTAATGACTTCTTTGTTAGTAAACATCATACCTATTTGAAATTTCATCCCCTCACCAAATTTATGTGTAGGAAACTTCAGTCCCCCCTCATCATCACTTCCTGGGGGTGTATATAAATGGTATGAGTCCTCACTTTCATCATGGACCATCTCAGCCTAATCTACATTCTTTTGGCAACTAGTAACCTCACATAATGTCTCTTGGGGAAGAACCTTAATTCAGTTCATCTCACTTACGTATGAGTCTTCACTAAAATGAAACTCACTATCTTCAAAAATACTCTCACTTGCAACATAATCCTCATCAATGCTATCTGCTCCAGCATCATCAACATCATTATCTATTACAGCTTCTTCAGCAACATTAGTATCATGCACATTAAAATCATTAATCACTTATTCAGCAACACCATTAGTATCATCTTCACAATCGGCCTCGAGGTTAACACCAACATCATCCTTATTAACACCTTCAATATTAAACCCAATACATTATACATCATCTTCACCATCATCCTTATGTCAGCATTGATTTCACTATCATTAATAATCTCAAGTGTAAGACCCCACTCTATCCCGTACGCGTATTATAGGAATATTAAAGAAAATACATCAGAGTTTTCAAAACACGTAGGATGTCACATAGACATTTTTCTCATTCAATGAAGTATCAAGTCACTTCATGCTTTCCACAATATTTCAACAAGGTCATTCAATAAAACAGCGGAATAAAATCAATGTTTAAACATAATCCCCACAACCGGTGATTATACATCATTAATCCAACATATAAAAATACGTAACAATTAATTAAGAAAATAAGCAAAATATAACGTAATCCTGTCATCCCATGTTACGTATCAGAGCGAATCCTAGGATTCGATCAAATAGCAACACACTCCAAGCACTACTCAGGTACTTGGTCATCTGCACTCCCCAAGGAGCACAAATGCAACAAACAGAAAAAGGGTGAGAACTACATTCAATAAATAAGCAGTGAAATACACATGCTAAGGAGTAGTTACACACCACACATACAATCATACACATGCAACGCATATACACGTGTCATCTCAATCACTCGGCATTAATAGCCCATAATCAAATACAAATATGTAAGTGACTCACTGACTCGACACAATACAGGTGGTACCAACACAAATACATACGGTTCACCCTAGAAACCGATTCCCGTCGGAATCCGGATAAGTCGTATATGTTCCTCTGAACTACAACTTATCTCCACAACGACTTCCACATGAAGTCCGAATGAACTAGGCATCCATCATGGATTCCCACCTAGTCATCTCTACAAGACACATGACATGAAATGCATGACAACACCATTATAATAATAATTTCAAGCATAATTCATGATCATCAATGATCCACACGAGCCATCCACTCACTGTAATCCTCTCGGGAATTACCATCATCACACCAAATCGTCCATACTGGACGGTCCTGACCCACACGTATCAATTAGGGGTGTGCAGAACTTAACCCAACCCGAAGACCTGTCCCAACCCAATAGCTTCGGGTTAGTCTTTTTCCCGTCTCATGTAAAAAAATGGAAAAAAATGGATGTCCAAAAATGAACCCGGTATCAAGTGAGACGGGTTCAGGTTGACCCTTGTGTTACCCAACCCGTCCTAATATTTTGAATGCACATGTGCTACTATATTTAGATTATTCCAAATTACCAATAGACTTTTCCACTTTCCACCTCATAATTTAATATATGCATTAAGTAAATACTAAGTACACATCTTCCTACTTTCCAACTTTCACACTTTTCTAGTTCTCTTACATCATGTTTTTTATTTTACATCTTCTTACTATGTTTTAGGGAAAATAAAAGGTGATGACATATATAGAATTACATCATGTTTTTTAATTTTAAAAATTGACTTTAGATGTATTCATTATTTTTCATTCATGCTAATGATTTTATTCATATTTCTTATTTAAATGAATTTTTTAAAATACTATAATAAACTTTTTAAGTCACTAAAATTTTTTTCTCCATATATTTCGGGTCAACCCGATATCGTCTTACATCAACCCGGTCTAAACTAACTTATATATTATTGGGTTTTTACGGGTTTAAGGTCATTAAAATAGCCCGATCAAAATTTAAGACAGGGTTAGGGTTAGTCGTAACCCATCCCAACCCGTCTCTTGCTCACCCCTAGTATCAATCACATCCCTAA